TTAGCTCACATTCAATCTTTTCTTCCTTGTAGTCAGCATCTTCAATTGCTGTTAAATGAAGGGACGCTTTATCTGGCAATACAAGTCCATCTTGTGCCTGCAATACATAATTATGTATCCCCGTGCAGTAATTGCAGCATAGGAATATTTTTTATTAATTGAAATAAGAAGTTAAAACTTACAAGCCACTTGTTACGAGCGTAGAGTACAGTGTCTAACATGTTTTCATAGACCAGGAAATAACCCATCCACTCGGAAATAATAACATCAACTTTAGCAACTGGAAGCTCAATCTCTTCAATCTTTCCCCTTAGAACTGTTATAACTGAAAATTAAACAAAACGACAGAGGTGAGTCGGGATAGGAGAAATCGGTAAGACAAATCAGAATGGGCCAAATGGAGTATGTATTACCATCTGAAAATCCATTTTTATCAACAATCTCTTTAGCCATATCAGCCATACTAGAGCATTCCACCTGAAAATTGAAGGCACTGTTATCGAGTGTTCACGTTCAAAATCATAAGTGCAGGGTACAAAATGAACAATCCGTGAAGAAACGAACAATCACATAATAGATAAACCAAAAGGAGAACTGTACATAAAATTTAAAGAAAAAAAAAAGGCAAAATAATAAATAAGTTGACTTCATTACCGCATAAACATGTTTCGCGCCAACTTTGGCACAGAAAAGTGAGAGGATTCCGGTCCCAGCACCCACGTCAAGGACTACTTTGTCTTTGATAAGAAATGCGTTCTTATAAATGACATTTTGGTACGTCTTCGTTCTAACTGAATCCTTCAACATTTCCGGCATCAACAAAGTCATATAAATCAGATTGCCAAAAACATCTGAAATGAAAAGAGGATGTTCCCGATCCACATGCTACAAATGCATCGAAAAGCGTAAGTCCGTCTAATTCCAAAGTTCGGTACTTACTTCATGGATACCTGCACAAGATTAGAAAGGTAACGATTAATAAATCTTCCAATCAGCAATAATTAACATAAGGAAAAAAAAAACCTAAGATCGAAAAAGGGGGCAACTTTTTTCATCTTCAGACCGTCTATTTAGTTTTATCTTAAATCAAATCCGGTTTTAGCTTAAAGTTCCTTTCTTTTAATAATGTTTGAAACCGAAACCGAAAGCGAAACCAATGTAAGAGGAGAGTGAACAAAATCTACACATTTGAAACAGAATTTAACCGTTTATAACATCTTTCGAAAAAACCAGACGGCATAGAAATAAGAAAAATTAAACACATCATACAAACTCAGCATAATCAATACTTCAAACTCCAAATTAAAAATCTTAACCCACAGTTAAACTCTTCAAAAGGAGAAAAAAAAAAAAAAAAAAAAAAAAAAAACACAAAAGACTCGATTTTTACAAGGGGGGTAAATTACCGAAATGTGAGTAGGAATCGAAGTAATAATCGGCGCTGGTCTTCTCATCGCCGGTAAGCAACGAATCCTCCGGCTCGAACATGGTGGAGTCTTCCTCGAGATTCGAGCTCGAGGCGGCGACTTCTTCAATGGTTTCCACTTCGTCATCCTCGTACTCGAACCTGATTTTCGTTGCGACTCCCATGTTTAGGCTGTCTTCAGCATCGACATTGTTCTGAATATCCATTGGAGAAATTATTTGGGGGTGGTGAGTTCTTCTGGTTTTTTAGGGTTTTAGAGAGAGGGGGGAAGAATTGGGTGGCTGGAACTTGTACTAGGGTTTATGACTGATTTGAACTATTAATAAATATAAATATAAATATAATAATCTGCTGGGTATTTGCCGCATTGGGGGTTGGTCAAAGTCAACTGTGTCTGTGACTATTGTTTTAGGGTGTGATTATTTCACATTACTAAGTATTGTTATAAACAATGTTATCAGAACCGGACCGGACACAAAACCGGATAGGTTTTCGGGTCACGGTTGGACCGGTTCAACCGGGTTCGACCCGGGTTTTTTAAATTTTTTATTTATTAATTTTTTTAATTATTGTATTAATTTTAAACTTTAAAAATACAATATTCCTATATATCTTTTATATATTTTACATGTCTTTTCCATTTTAATATCATATATCTCATTTCATTTTGTTTTATTTATATTTTTATTAACATTTTTTATTAACATTTTTTATCTCTCATTTGACATGTCTCTTTCTCTCTCTTCCCACTTTCTTTTTCCTTTCTTCTTCACGCAGCAGCCCCCCTCTCCCTCTCTCTCTCTCTCTCTCTCTCTCTCTCTCTCTTCCTTTCTCTCTCCTCTGTAAATCCAAAAACCTTCCTCTTCTTCTCTTCTTTTTCTCTCCTTTCTCTCCATTTCGGCCTCCGACCACTGAATTCAGCCCACCACCGCCAAGATTCGCCCACCTAATATAGTCTTTACAACCAAGATCCGTCCACCTCCAGCCTCTGACTACCGGATTCAACCCACCGCCGCCCAGATCCGCCCACATAACAGCCTTTGCGGCCGAGATCCGTCCACCATATACTTTTTTGACAAAACCCGGGGTCATTAACCGGTTCGCCGGTTTCCGGGTTTTACCCGGTTGAACCGGGTTTGTTCATTTTGACCCCGGTTTTCAATTTCTCCGGTTTTGGAGTTCAAACCGGACCGCCAAATTGTTGGGTCCCGGTCGAACCGGTCCGACCGGCCGGTCCGGTCCGGTTCCGATAACATTGGTTATAAAGACCAACATAAATTAAATACCATAAAATTATGAAAAAGAATAAAAAAAAATTGAAGCTGTAGCTTGAATATAAAACAAGTTAGGATTAGGCATTTGAGTTTGTTTCCCTAAAATTAATCCCATCATGAAAACAATCCGAAAAGATATCAAAAAATCCACGAGTGCGTTTGGAAGGATTTGATTTGGAGAATACATTTGAAATGACTCCAATATGGAGTCATTTGAAATTCCACCACAATTGCTCAAAAAACAACTAAAAATGAGGGGCATAGATTTGAAATTCATCCCCAAATACTTAAATCCAAACAAGTCCAAAATTCCTCCTCCAAATGCAGTTGTTCAAAAAATTCGACCTTCAACGGGCGATATTATGTAGCATATTCGACACACATATGTCGAGTTTATGGCGAGATTCTTAATGTCATTTTCCCCCCAAAATTTCGAAGTCGAAAACCTATCATACATAAATTATTTTTTATTAAAAAATTCAATGGTAAGTATGGACATCAACTTCAGTTGTTATGTGTCGACATTTTTTAAAATGGTGGTTATATACGCAGGCGCTATTATGGCGAACATGCATTTTTTTACCATAACTTTTTACCTTTTTACTTCAAGTTTTTACCATTTTACATTTTTATTTTTAAATCCTATAATTCTTTAAAAACCAAATTTCAACATTCATTGCAAAAAAAATTAGATACTCAACAATTTCTAAAATGGATCCAACAAATATAGACCCGGAGATAATATTTTCGTTTCTTCTCGAATCTTCAAGTACTCGTGTGATATTACGCGAGGACATGGCATGTGCTCGCGTAATATCACACGAGTACTTGATTTTATATTTTTTTTTTCTTGTGTTCGTGTGATTTTGCACGAGCACATGGCATGTGCTCGTGCAAAATCACACGAGAAGATGAATAATTTTTTATTTTTTTTGTGTTATTTTACGCGAGAACCTTCTCAGTGGTCGTGTAAAATCACGCGAGACCTGAGTCGGTTCTCGTGTAAAATCACGCGAGCACAATTTTTTTTTTAAATAATAATAATAATAAGTCGTAAAAATATATTTAAAAAAAAATTCTTACTCGCGTGATTTCACGCGAACAGAGAAGTTTTGGTCGCGTGATTTCACGTGAGCAAAACATCCCTGTTCGCGTGAAATCACGCGAGTAAGTTTTTTTTTCAATTAATAATAAATTAAATCGCATTAAAAAAAAATTAAAAATTGTACTCGCGTAGTTTCACGCGAACAAAGAGCTTTTGCTCGCGCAGAATTACACGAGTACATGGTCTCTGTTCGCGTAAAACTACGCGATTACAATTATTACTATTAATTTTTTTTATTTTTTTAATTATATTTAAAATACAAAATAGAAAATAGAGTAATTTTTTGACACAAAAAAAATAAAAAATCGAGTAATCGTTCAATACAATCAAAAATAGAAAATCGAGTAATCGTTCAAAAAAAAAAAAAAAAAACAAGTAATTGTTACACACAATCAAAATAGAAAAACGAGTAACAATCATCCTAGTACATAACCAATGAAAATGGAAAATAATAGTCAAAATAAAAAACAACTGTCATAACCATCCTACTCATACTGTCTAACCCTGATTTGTTCGACCCTACACCCGGTGATAAACATCTCCGGGTCGATTTCGGGCCCTGATTATTTGACCCGGGACCCGACGGGTCTACCCGGAGGGAGGACCCGAGGGCCCGGACCCAGGGACCCGGCGGGTCAACCCGGAAATATGCGGTTTTTTTGTCAAAAAATGCACATTTTGAGGTTCGAACTCAAGGCAATGGGGAAAAATATGTAGCTCTTTACCACTGGACCAACAAACATATTTGAAAAAAAATAGATCATATAATTATTTAAAAATATAAATGATGTTTATTTTAATAAAAATAGATTATATCTCATTTCAATTAATATTCTTACTTGAAAAATAACATTATATATGGACTAGTATAATCAAAATATTATGATGTGATTAAATTTTAATAATTGGTTTAGTTTGTAAAAATCGTAAGAATTAAATCATATGATTTAATCTTTTTTTTTACATTTACATTTTATTCAAATATTAGAATCGAATCGTAAGATTTAAATGGATTAAGCTCAAGTCCATTCGTTTTTTTTTATTATATTGTATTTGTTAATAATTTAATTAAATTATTTAATAATAATTAATATGATAATTAATTATCTATTTAACATTATTTATTATAATCATTTTACACCTTTCATTTATGCTATATATATTCCTTGTTACAATAATCCTAACTATAAATATAAAAATATAAATAACACTATCAAATGATTATAATAATTGTATAACTAATGTTTTATAAATTATTAGTTGTCATGTTGACTATTATTAACATCAAAAATCCCGACTAATTACAAATGCATATATATTTAAATTTGAAAAATATAAAAAAATACATTTGAAAAATATAAAAAAATACGATTTAATTTAAAAGAAAGATTGAATATTGATTTTTGAAATTTTGAAATTTTTCTAAATTATTATTTTCACTTATATTACCCGTAATTCAATTTTCACGGCTTTCATTTTATTTAGTTTATGTCTCAAGGTCTTAATCGTTTCATTTTTTTCTAAAATTGTTTAATGTCTAAATTCAATTATTTTTTAATTTTGAATTTAAAGTTAATCTCATGTTTTTTCAAGTTTCAATATAAGTTTTTTTGTTTAAAAAAAAAAAATTGAAAAACCGGGTTGGACTCGGATCCGGATGAACCCGGGTGGACCCACCCCGGACCCAGACCCGGCTCCCCGCGGGTCGGTTTCGGGTCCAGACCTGGCGGGTCTGACCTGGACCGGGACCCCACCCGCCTTGTGGCCATGTCTACTCTCGGGTACAAGATGGAGATACTGAGCATGGGGCATATATCATCAAATCACGTAACTGTGGCTGGATTGACATAAATTGCCGTCGCTTTCCTTCTACGATCGGATGCGAGAATTCCCCGATCTCCAATACGATCCGGATCATCCGGATTGTTCGACTTCCGACCCAAAGCTTTCATTAAACTCTTACCTTTTCCCGTAACTTGACTCGTTAAACTTTTCCCTCTATCTCCGGGCTCCAGCCATCTACAATTTAACAAAAAAAATGAATTAGTATTTAATTTAAACAAAAAAAAAATAAATAAATAAAGTTGCTTGCGTGAAAACACGCGAGTAGACCAATTTTACTCGCGTGTGAAAATTTAAGCTCGTGTGATAAACTGAGCTCGCGTGGTTTCACACGAGCACAAACCCTCTGTTCGCATAATAACACACGACCTCGATTTTTTTCAATAAAAAACATACGAATTTAAAAAAAAAAAAAAATTACATTCATCTACTCGCGTGGTTCTACACGAGTAACTCCGCTGTACTCGTGTAGAATCACGCGAGTAAAACAAAATGCTTCGGTTTAAAAAAAAATGCAATAATCGTAATCTATGTAACAAAACAATCAAAAAAATATAAGAATTACCTCCGATCTGTTATCGTATCGGTCGGGATCTGAAATCGAAGTACAAAAGCTTGAGAGAATTTTTGTGGAAATTTACCTTTTGTTTTTTCTAGAATGGTAAAATAAAGTGCCTGCACGATTAAATTGTGTCTGCACAAATCATTTCAGTTTTGAAATTGTCAAAAACATTGGGGCCGTAATTTTTGAAATTCTGTTCGGCTTGGTAAATAATTTGTCATTTTTTCAAACTGGTTCACTTGTTTATTCAATGCTTTATATATGTTTTATTCATTTTTTATATTAAGAGGTTCCAAAGTTTCATCGTGATTCCAAATCAAAATTGAAATCTACTCAATGTATTTCACCATGTGTAGCCGTATATAAGAGACCGAAGAAGAGATGGATGCAAATTAATCCTACTTTTATTTTTAAATTAAAATCAAATGTATGTTTTATATAGAAGATCACCGAATCAACTTTTTTCTTATTCCAATTGTATTCCCAAAAAAATCAGAAAACCAGAAAACAAGAATCTCAAAAATTAGAATGAAAAATTAGTTCATTAATTGGAGCGTGGTCGCTAAGTAGCCGGTGGATGCAAACAATCCAATTTATTTGAAATAAGCAAGATCCAACTCCACATCAAGTCATTAACCTTTCCGAAGTCGATAAATTTAGACCGAAATACTAAGATCATAAACTAAAAAAAGACACGAGTTTATTAATTTATAAAGAAAGATAAATCAAATACTAGATTACTTAAGAAGACGGTTAAAAAGTCGACAAACCGAAGCTTGGGCAGGTTAAGTTTTCGTACTGAGAGAAGGTATACTTGTCCGAATAATCGGCCAAGGAGCACCAGCCATCACAGCCTCTATCTCGTTTATCTCGCGTGGACACTTAGTCATGTTCACGCAACCATCGCAAGTAACATACTGCAAAGAATAACACACTTGACCGGTCAATTAAAATTCTTAATTTAATTTTGATTTTTCGGGTTTCGTGTATTTGTTCAGAGACGGAGTGAGAGTGCTTTTTTTTTTTTTAAATATTGAAGAAAGGTGAGCAAAGAAAAATTACCACATCGCTTTCAATTCGAACCCCGCCAAAGCCTCTAAACCTACTGATCTGGTCGCGGTTGAAATATTTCGACGTTCGTGTATTTTCCATTGCAGGAAGTAACAACGCGTCGATAAAATAACAACCGGGTTCCACCGTTATCACCTGCATTTTTAACATCTCAGGTCAATGCAATTACGGAAATAGGTTCGTCACTTTTAAGAATAAATCTGCTAATCGTATTTATCCGCTCATACGAGAGTATAAATTCAATTACATACCATCCCCTCCAAGAGTTGTCTACTCGTGCGCAGAGATTTCAGTCCAGCTTCTTTGGGTCTTTCCGCTCCCTACAACAGTTTGTAAATTTGAAAACAAAATAAGTTCGCAAACAGGCAATCGATCACTATTTAAAATGTAATAAAAAAAAAGGGCAAATTACGGCGACCCCCCTGAGTTATGATCAAATTACGTAACCCCCTTCTATTTGGATAATTAGAAGCCACCCCTCAACTATGCGTTATCTTACGAACATACCCCTCCAGAGGTAGATTTAGGGATGTCAAATTGGTAAAACCGAACCGAAATTTCAGTACGCCAACATTTCATACCGTTTACCGAACTGAATATACGGTTTAGTTCGGCAAATAACCAAATTACATAAATTTTATGTAAAAATATTTAAAAGGAGGGGGGTGGCTGTAATTACCCAAACAAAAGGGTTTTTTTTCGTAATTTGACCATACCTCAGGGAGTGGCCGTAATTTGCCCTAAAAAAAATTAATAAAAAAAAAAACTGTAAATAGAATTTGCACAACTACCTGTAGATAACCGCCAGGATCGTGAGTATCGATCCCCAATAGGTGTCCCAGCCCATGGGGCATAAAAACAGCACCCAGTCGCTCATTAACCATAGCATCGATTTCACTAGCAAGAAACAGAAGAGCCGTATCAAGAACCGAAATCTAGTTCTGCACCACTCTCTATACATAATATAAATTAATTTAAATAAAATACATACCCGAAAAGAAGGCGCTCTCCCTTCAGTGATTCCAAAATAGTTCTTTCAGCCAATCTGAGAATCGAGGAAAAATTATTTACTGCAGCCTTAGAAACAAGTTTTTTTTCATGAAATACAAATTGAGTTTCTTACTTGTGCATATCGACCCAGCTTACTCCAGGTCGCACATTGGATATGACAGCATCGTGTGCACGAAGGACAGCCTGAAAATGACGAAATACGACATATCAGTTCCCGAAGAAAAAGTATTTATTCGATCCTTTTTCCTACAAAACATCGTTAATATAGATGTTTGAGAGCTTCTCCATTAGTTAACCCTTGGAAATTACGAATACTTACATTATACACAATGGATTGATCCGTTGTAAATTTCCCATTGACCTGCGTTCACAAAAAGATTTAGTTTGAAATAGAATCGAGTGAAGACCACGGTTGTAGAGTAAAGCATGAAGACGACGAAAATATTAAATATATAACATAGCAAGGTAGATAATTTATCGTTTCTTGTCTTTATTCTACGGGGCTCAGTTATACTACGTAGAACTTTTTTATTCTACGGGGCATACCTCATATTATTAGCTTTTCGCAAAAAGTATGTGCAAATATTCAAGCGTGAGTTTGTGCGTATTTATCGAAGAAATTATTATAGAGATAGTTATGCTTACGGGGAAGGAACACGTTATGTCAGAACCATAAAAATGGTATTCAGCTCCCATGTCGAGTAACGCCATATCTCCATCTTCTAAAGTCTGAAAGGAAAAAGCAAACAAACAAACAAGTATAAACATTAGAATCGATTCGGCGCTTCATCTTCTGAAACAAACATTCCGTACGACAATTTTACTAATCGTTCTTCATTGGTCCATTAAATAAAAATAACAAAATAACAAAATAGTTGTGTGATGTGTAATGCTTCAGATGCAAGGGTAAAATTGTCAACGTACCTTGTCATTAGGAGCTGCTGCGTGACCATAGTGGAGTACAGCACTGTAACAAGAGAAATCGAACAATTATCTAAAACGCAAGCAGTGAATTCATAATTTATAGTCCTTAAGACAATTGTACATAGAAATAAAAAAATAGAAATAATTACGAAAGTGACATACCTGCTGTCACCGGTTGCACATATACATGTATACGAACAGTGTCTACAGCCACCGTACATGTATGTGTGATGAAGAAACAAGCTTTCTAATTGATACTCTTTCATACCTACTTTTGTTTTCCTCATAACCTACTCAAAAATACATATACCATGTCAACTAACTACATCCGTCAGACAAGTAGTCACACCCAAAAAAGAAAAAAGAAAAAAAAAATCAATTTACTCAAACGTTACTGAAATTATTTATAGCAAGACCCAACTCAACCAGCTTATTACAACTGGACCTTTTTTCAGACAAAACAACAGTGATGGAATGGCAATTCAATATGACGAGAGGAAGTGTAGTATTCGAATAGATTCGGAGGGTGACCCTAATTTCCTGATCATCAGATCAACATAACAGTAACTATAAACCTAAATAATGTTTGAGGAAAAAACAATGGCATGAAGAAAGTCAGTACAATCCATTGAATCACAAAGGAGATAGAAAACTAACACCCAGACCGTCAGAATAAGAACAACCTAAGATGCATATCTAAGACTGATATTTAACAAATATGTTACATGGAAAATCAGAACCAATTGATTCTCGTACGATAAATTTTCAAAACATTAAATAGAAACATAACATCCACCATCACAATAAGACAAAACTGACTTCCATATTCGAGACAGAAAAGTTCAAGAATGTTAACCTCAACGTGAGCTTCAGAGCTTATATCATTGGCAAACTGGATGAGAGAAAGCTCTAGCGCTGACTTTAAGACGCGGCATTCAGTCAAAATGGGATGTAAAGCATTTAGATCTGCTACAAAGTTGTCAATCCCCTGAGAAAATATATGCATTAAACCAACCATAAGCATTTAGATCTTCTACAAAGTTGTCGTTTATATATATATTTGTATAAAATTTTAATTACTAGAAATACATTTAATGTTTTTAGAAAATGAAATCAAAATATAATTGTAATTTGAAATACGAGATATCAACTTTCGAAATTTATTTTTTCAAAAATCGATCTTTCATCTTTGTTCTCCTAATATAAACATAAAATGCATATTTTATCATCTTTCATTAGTGTAATTATTTATATATCAGATAAATTTCTCCTATCATTGAGAATTCTCACAAAGCCCAAAATAGTTTGCATCAATACTCGGCGTGTGTTAAAATATAATTATTTTGATAGATAAAGTACTTGTCAAAAGAATATACAATAACAATTTAAATACTTAAATATTATGAAATGAGACTGCAGTGTCATGGTCCGTCTGTTATGGATCAAATTTTATAGCATTTAGGCCAAAGATGTTCTCACTAGAGCAAGACAACTAACAAACAAGACAAAACTCAAACTAGACCACTTGTGTAGATAGGGATATTGTAGAAATATGTAAAAAGTTGCCACCAAGTTGTAGATATTTCTACGAACTCCCTAGAGACCTCTACGTTTGGCCTTCTAGAATATACTCCAAAATATTTATTGAGCCACTTTCAACAGTAGGATTAAATCAATTACCAATATGCATTATGGGTTGAGGAGTATTTAACACGAGCAATATTTTAATTATAAACCTATCAAACAAACTAGTTAATAGTTAGAATGACAAATAAAGTTCATGTATTCGGTACGTAAAAACACAAGTAGTTTGTGATAAATGATCTTTATGAACAACACTTAGGGCCTCTGAAATCGCAGGATCGTAGTACATTTGTGTTTATTCAAATGGATCTAGTCGCTACGAGTACATAATAAAATTATTAACTCCTTTATTAAGATGAAAAGATTGAATTACCTCAAAGTCTGCTGGTTTCGAATAGTTATTACTATCAGTATTGAGCCCATGCAGTAGATAGAGGGATGGTTTTCCTGATCCTTTGTATTGGTCGTGCAAAAGTTTTGAAATCTCGTCAGTATAATATACAGAACTAACCATATATCTTTCCTGCAAAAGAGAGATATAAAAGCAATTTCAGCAAGTATGCTCAATTTGATTCATCTTTCCTTGAACTTTTGACAGTCACCTTGAAGTGGGACAATGGCTTAATTTCTCCCAACCAAACTGCATAGTCAGCAGGTAGTCTTGGTGCAAAAAGCATTGATTCCCCACTTGCTATATCCTTCATTCAGAAAAGAAAAAAAAGTGGTGAAACTTCAAAATTAGTTTTCTTTGATTGAAAAGACAAGATGCAGTAAACTTACAATAGCTCCATAAAACCCTGGCTCTTGAACTCCAAACAAGTAAGCAAAGTAGCTCTCCTGTCTGGCATCAATAAAACTATCAATTAGTAACAACTGAGTCATAAAATAAGGTAATAAAAAAAAAAAAAAAAAAAAGTAATCACCCAATACAATTTTCAGTTCAAAAAAAAGGAAACAAGATGTCAGTTAGAACACTTAAAAAGAAACAACCTCGTGACAAAAGAAAAAGGATTGTATATTTCAAGTCTCCACAAAAAAATGCATCTTGTTAGCACTGTAGCTTCAAAATTTTGTAACCAGGACATGGAAAAAGTATAATTTGGATAATGTACAGAAGTATATGACAAAAAAAAAATATTCTCATTAACAGCATATCTTTATCGTCAAGGGAAAAGATTGGCAATTCTCTGATAATTGGCAGATTTAGAGCTTTCTCTCACTATAACTAACCCTGCTAATGCACAATGCCAAGACACCAATATAGCCAGATAGAAAAATTCCATATAACCTCTAAACACTTGGAAGATCTAGCAATGGGCAAATGTTAATAACTTGACATTGGTTTGATTAGCACATGAATTCAATGATTTTATGTTGGTTTGACGGATTGGGAGCGAAGATATTAAGTGCCGGTTTTATTATTTGTGATCCAAAATCAGGGTTCCAAGAAACCAGACAACATACATATTTCCGTGTAGACTCAATTACAAATGAGTCTACAAGTTCCGAAACCTTATTGGAGTACATAAACCCCATCTCGGATAACATATCCTTTTGCCAATATGTGTTAGTATCTAAAACCACTTATGGAACCCATATTTTTCCCTTCATAAACAGATGAACTTGTCACTCGTTACTATAAGAATGAATCCAATGGGGACAATTATTTTCATGAACTTATACAAGAATATAAGAGTTCAACAAATATCATGTGTTGGGATTAATTGCACATAGATACCTAGCCGTATTATTGTATCAACAATTCTCCCTTCCGAATATACATGCACAAGAAAAGAAAACAATTCATGTGATTGTTAATTGCATAATATAAATAAACAAAATAAAGTGTACCTAAACAATTCAATATGATCGGTGCAGTGCCGAGTCTGCTCTTCGCCACCCTATAAAATTGAAAATCCAATCAGACGAATATCAAAAGATATAATGAATATAAAGCGAAGATTGGAAAGAAAAAAACTAGAGAGAGAGAGAGAGAATTGGGAACCTGGAGGAATATGAAACCATGGAGAGGGCGAGAGGAGAGAGAGAGATGGTCGCGGAATGAATGTAAGAGCTTATTTCTGTTGAGAGCGTGCAACTCCATGGGCACATCCGTAGGAGAAAGAGAAGAGGGAGAAGCCATCATCGGAGGAGTTTTTTAGCATTGGAGTAAACTATCAAGTGAAAGCTTTCGCCACGACTCTCTCTTTGGCTTTTTATTTGTAGGATACTTGTAAGCAACAGCCTTGATTCCACTTTGAACCCATCTAATATAATATTTTGACTCTTTAATCACTCTAAAAAATAAATAATATATATATCTCCTATTATCCAATCTATTTTTCCTAATTCTTCTTTACTTCGTTTTTTTAATGATCAATTTCATATTATGACAATTAATTATATATATTTTTTTTCGAAATGGGTCTGTATTATTAAATTTGTATAAATATTAATGTCGTTACCGATATCACTGATAAGTGTTCGTTTTCACGATTTTTAATTATCGAATCTTCGAGTTTTGGTCTTCGTTCGTCCGAGTTTTCGGCTTTATTTGTACATATTATGCGTTTCTTGTTTTATTTCTATTTTAGGTAAAGAGAAACTATTTTTGCCGATTCGAAACTATTTTGGAAGCGAAGCCAAGAATCAAACCAAATACGTGCAAAAGTGCATTCTAGTGTTGTGGCAGTGTTTGGTATTGCAAGCATAACTCTCGCATACGATCTCCGATTGAGATGATTCAAAGGGATTTAGAAAGCCAACTTCAAGGGCTGCACATTTTGTGAAATGTATATTTGTCAAATTCGGGCTTAAAATGGGTTAAATCAGTGTTTGAAGTTGATGCAGATGCCAGATCGCGATCTGGTGGCAAATTCCAGTAAGCACACAACAGAGGCCCAGATCGCGATCCAAGAAGCCCATATCGCGATCTGGGAAGGCGGTGCGCAGTTTTCGAGGTTGCCAGATCGCGATCCAAGAATCCTAGATCACGATCTGGGCACATAAATCGAGACCATATATTTTTCTTTGACTTCTTCATTTTTCAAGTTCTTGACTTCTTCTTCGATTTTCTCTTCGATTTTCGCCAGCATTCCGTGGGAAGCTTCGACAAGGGTTTCGACTCGAGTTTTTCATAATTTTTTTCTTTACGTTTAGTTTATGATTTCTCGTTGTAATAAACTGAGCATTTTCTTTTTAGGGAAATGAAACCTTGTATATATTGATTTTGATTTACAAACCTGTGATTTATTTGTTGTTCTTTGATTCTGTTTATATTTTCCCGTATTAAATGCTTTTGATTGTTTGGCCAACAATTGAATTTATTGTAATTGGGAATGAACTCGAGAGAGGATTTCTCGTTTGATTTTAGGAAAACATAGCTCGGATTGTGGAAACGGAGACGTGATGCACCTCGGGTAGCCCTTAAGGACTTGACCTAAATGCTCTCTAAATATCAGGTTCTGAAGGGAGACGTCGGACCTGTGGGTAGACTCTAACTACACTGGAGAAGGGGGTTAGGTTATTTTAGTGTCTCGGTTAGCGAATATTGAATTGACATTAGATTCGGATTTGTAGATCTTTATCGATAGTACACTGGTGGATTTTACCCTATAAGCCACCACACGCCGGAATTCTTCGTTTGTCCTGGCGGACCATTGTTTTTATTTTTGTTTATTTTTAGCTTTATTTCATCCCCCATTCTTTCGTCCGTCTAGATGGAGTTTAGGATATTATAATTACGGTACTTGGTAAACTTAGGAACTTAATTCCCTATGGATCGATATCTGAAATTCAATATTCTACAAAACGCGATACTCTACACTTGCGGTTTTCATACGTAGGTTTACGCTATCACTCACTAATAAATTTTATTATAATTTTTACTATCATGTATTAAACTAATCATTATTTTCAATTTTGAAATGCTATCACGTACATGAACGGGGGAAGTAATGCTAGTAATAATAACAACGACATCGATGACGACGATGGCAATATTTTGCACACTCAAAGCAGAATAAAATAGCGATTTATGTGAGTATGTCCTTGAGTTTATTTTTATTATTCTATGTTTAAGTGTTATATATTTGTCAATAAGTTCATACTTTTCATATATATTATAAATAAATGCAAATTTAACTTATATAACAAAATTACTCCCAATCATTTGAATCCAATTTCTAATTGTAATCTCAATTTAGTTTCAATTTCATCAATTTTGACTCAAAAAAAATCCAATTTTGAATTTTTCTTTGTCAAAACATTTTTTTTTCTGCCCGTCGCTGACTGGTGATAGTAATATTGTAAAATTATTGTAAACACAATAATATTATTGTCAACCACATCAATATTATTATTTTTATGCCCTTTTTATTTGTTGTTCGATCAATGTAATAATATTATTGTCTACTATTGTAATTTTACTGTATTTGACGGTAAAATTACTGGAAACACAATAATACTACTGTCAACCACATCAATTTTATTATTGTTTTTTTTTGTTTGATTTGTAGACCGGTCAACGTAATAATATTACTGTCTACTATTGAAATATTATTGTGGTTGACAGTAAAATTATTGTAAATACAATAATATTACTGTGGTTGACAATAAAATTATTGTAAACACAATAATATTACTGTGGTTATCAGTAATGTTACTAATTTTACTAATATTACTATCAATCACAACAATATTAATTTTTTTTGGCTTTTTATAATATTTGTTTATGTTGACTGGTCAACATTATAATATTACTATAATACACATATATTTATTATGTAATATAGTGATTTTGTTATGTTAATATTATTGTGCTAGATAGTAATTTAGTAATATGATTGTTTTAAACAATAATATAGTTAATATTACTGTCAACCATGGTAATATTATTGTTTGTTACGGGACCAAAAAATGTTCAGGAAAGAAAAAAAAGTCAACACCGCCATAGACCGGCGTTGGCCGGCAACAACAGCTGAAAAAACAACGGCGAAGACCGTTGGTCAACACCGGAGACCGCTGGTGGCGACGACGGTCAAAATTGGGTTAGCGATCAAAATTGAATAATTGGTGAAACTTGTGGTCAAAATGGGTTAAATGGATAAAATTGGAGCATATTAAAATGTGATAGGGCTATTTTAGTCTTTTACACACCTATGAACTTTGTCTAGACTATTTTGTGCAAGACTTTTTTGTCTGAATCTTTTTTATGAATAAGTAGTCCTTGATGAACTTATTTGTAATAGCCGGCCTATAATAATATTGGGTAGGGCAAAGTTCTTTGCACCCTGAATTATGGGATGTGTTGCAAACATATCCATCAATTACGAAATGTACCAAACACCCCCTCATGTTTATATTCCTTTCTAATATGATGACACCACCTATTGACTTTCTTGTTTGTTTAAAAAAAAAAAAAAACTTTTTTACCCCTATTTTGTAAGGGGTCAAAGCTTATAGTGACTTATTTTATTTTTTGACCTTTATTGTTTCATTTGAAATTAGTTCATTTTTGCTATTATCTTTTTTTCTTAACTTCACAATAATGTCTAACTCTAGTTGTTATCATAAGTTCAATTTTATATAGCAATTCTTATCAAATCACATTAGCAACTTGATCCGGACAGATTTGTAGAGCCCAATAAAGCAAGGCCCAATCGAGATGGCCCACACTCCAGGAGGAGATAAGACCACATGGGATCTGGGCTTATTTGCCCATTTCATCGGATCTTTATAAATGGCCCAAAACATTGAGCCCACAAGTGTATGCTCAAAGAATATAATACATTGTCAGTAGAGACGAACAAGGAGACCGACGACGAGCTGGAGAATTGAGAGCTCTTCGACGAGCTGGAGACCTCTAAAACGAGCTAAAGATAGCTCATGAGTGCCAAGTGCCGAGTGCCAAGCCCCGAGCGACGAGCCGACGAGCACCGAGTGACGAGTGCCGAGCCCCGAGCGACGAGCCGACGAGCACCGAGTGACGAGTGTCGAGCGCCGAGCGACGAGCCGACGAGCACCGAGTGACGAGTGTCGAGCGCCGAACGACGAGTGCCGAATGTCGAGCGGCAAGCGACGAGCTGAAGGTGCCACCTCATGACTTAAACACTAAGGCATATAAATTAAATATCTTCATAACTTAACCACTAAGACTCATAAAGTTCCATGGACATCAAACGACTCTATTAACCGAATTGGATAAAATGAATGACATCCGAAAATACTCTTCTATAAATAGAGGGTTCATCACCCTCAAGGTAAGCATTCTGAATCTCAACACACCATTTTCTCTCGAATATATTTATCTCTGAATCTTTGAGGTGTTCTAACTTGGGCGTCGGAGTGCTAACGCCGGGAGCACCTCTCCCGGTCCCTTTTGCAGGTTCGTGACGAACAGGCCTAACACGGAACGGACTCGAAGATTCGAGATTCCTTGAAGCGGAAAAACCCAACCGCATCACAACTCGATACCTAATTTCTTTAATTAAACCACGTATCTTAAAATATGAGAGTAAATTGGGATAAACTTCTCACTTAATGTAAGTCAAACACCCAATATAATCAAACTCCGTAAGCATATCTCCATAATGGATTTTAATTATAAGAAAATGATTTGCAATTATAACCTACGAAAAATATGCTCAACTTAATCAAATATTAAAATAAGTTAATAGTTGCTTAAATAATCATCCAAATATTATTTGCAAGATGAGTTATGTTGGAAAATGACTTTATATTTTTTTTTTGACTTAAATATTTCTAAATACTAAAGTTCATACTTCACATATATTTTCCATAGACTAAAAGTGGGGGTAAGATTCTAATTGCTCAAGAAAACATTACAAAACTAATGTCTTTATATTTTTTAAGTTTGACTAGAATATACAGGGGAGTATTTAATATGTTTCATAATTGAGGAGTGTATGTGCCATACATTCTATAATTCAGGGGTGCAAAGAGAACTTTGCCCTATTGGATGAACTACACATGCCTTTGTGAGTTTATGTGTTATTACACGTAGAATATCTCTAATTTGAAAAATTAACATACCACATGAGATTTGATATAAACAATCATGGGCTACTTATTATTCATATAAAGTATCAGACCAAAATCTCTTTTATAAAAAATAGGCGAAGTTCAGAAATATGTAAAAAACTAAAATATTCCCTCACATTTAAATATGCTCCAATTTCATTAATTTAACTCAATTTAACTTTAACTCGACTATAAAATTCATAAATTA